TCCCTGCCACATCCCAGGGCTGCTCCCACCCCTCATCCCTGCCACATTCCCACCCCTCATCCCTGCCACATCCCAGGGCTGCTCCCACTCCTCATCCCTGCCCAGCTCTCACTGTTCCTCCTCCTTCCACCCCAAACCCCAGCCTGGGCCTCTCACCACCCTCCCAGCCAACCCTTGAGGGTCAAGCTGATGAATTCCCACTTAATTTCCTCTAAAACACAAGGAAAAATAATGTCATTCACCATAATACACGGTGACATTAAGAATGACAGGGCAACCCCCAATATATTGCCCAAGATCTTCCTAATTCAGAGATATTTTTTTTTTATATTATCCTTGGAGACTTCATACTCTTTTTAACATCAGTTTCCTTTTACTTGTCCTGGTTTAAACCCAGCCAGCAGTCAAGCCCCATGGAGCTGCTCACTCACCCCCCCACCAGCAGGATCCGGGACAGAATTGGAAGGGTAAAAAGCTGGAAAACTCATGGGTTGAAATAGTTTTAGGTAAAGCAAAGAAAGCAAAACAAGGAATTAATTCACTGCTTCCCACGGGCAGGCAGGTGTTCAGCCATAAAAACACCCCCTCCCAAAAAAAACCATTAAACCCAAAATGTTTAAATCCAAGAATCCAAGGCCATGGAAAGAAGAGTCTTCAAAAATCAGAAATGCAGCTGTTAAAGCATCAGGGGGGGAACAGGTTTGTTCCTTGGGCTTGAGCAGGTCCCTGCATCTCCAGGGGGAGTGGCAAGGAACACTTTTTGGGCCACGGGATTTTGCAGGTTCGTGGTTAGGCCAGAGAGATGGTTAAAAAACCAAAAATAAATCAAAAAATCAGTTAAAAAATTCCCAAACCAGTCAGTGCAAGGCCCTGTTGATTTGTCCATCATTCCCTGGGTTTGTGCTTCCAAATCTGAGGCTTCACTCCATTTCCCCACCCTCCCTGGAACCTCCCTGCACTGAAACACTGGGAATGGCACAAGAGCACAAGGAATTGCACAAAAACATCAGGAACCTCCAAGCAGAGGGAAGAAATGCTGAGGGAAAATGCCCTTGGTGCCAGGGCAGATGGAGGCACGAATTGCAGCCAGATCTGGGAGCAGCCCCTGTTTCAGGGTGGGTGTTCCAGGGGAAGAGGGCCCAAAAGGAGGAGAAAAACACTGGTGAGCCCAGGGATGAGACATTTTCCTTGCTCAGGTGGGCCAGGAACACCCAAACCACTCCTCCCTCTGCTCCAGAAACACCAGGAAAACCACAGCCTGACCGTGGACATACCTCCCCACTCTGCTCCTGGAGCCTCTGGAGCTGATCCTGGAAGCTCAGCTCAGACCTTTCCTGTGGAATTGGCATCCAGGGTTCAGCAGCTCCTGCTTCAGCCACTCCCTCAGGTCACAGCAGTGGCTTCCATGTGTCCTCAGTGTCCAAGGGACATTCCTCAGATCCCACTGTCCCCCAGGACCTGCAGCTCATGGCTCAGCTGTTTCGGGCAGTATTTCTCCCCCACAGTATCTCTGAGTAGTTAAAATTATCCCTAAGCAGTTAAAATTGCCCGTTCTGGAAGAAAATCCCAGAAACTCTACAGTTTTGAGAGCTCCTGCACAAAGGCAGGGCTCCCACAGGCCCCTCCCAGTTCCTGTCTGTGCAAACCCACTGGATCAATTCACTGTTGCTAAAATTTAAGCCATTCCAGGTGTGTTTTTCCAGCAGTGCAAGAACCTGCCTGAAAAACAGATATTAAAGCCCCAAATCCCGTTTTCCTGCTGAAACACACGAGGAGCTCCATAAAAATCCTTCCCAGCACCACCTCCCTTCTTCCAGCACCTTCCTGCTCCACAGAGGAGACGCTTTGGCAAGAAACACAGCACGGAGTTGGGTACAAGGCCTTTTATTTGCTGCCTCTGCAGAGGCTCGGGGTGAGGCTCAGGCGATGCTCCCGGCGTTGGAGGCGATCCTGGGCCACAGATCCGCACATTCCTTGGCCACGGGGCCTGTGATTGCTGAGCCTGGAAAACAGGGATAACGGAGCATCAGTCCTGCCCTGGGAGGGGGGAATGGAATTCCCAGAGAAGCCGTGGCTGCCCCATCCCTGAAGTGTTCCGGGTTGGACGGGGCTTGGAGCAACCCGGGCTGGTGGAAGGTGTCCCTGGGGGTGGAACTGGATGAGCTTCAAGGTCCCTTCCAGCCCAAACCATTCTGGGGTTCCCTGATGGAGATGTGGGAGCTGCACAGTCGGAGTTACAGCCCTGGGACAGGGATCAGGGTTGTGTCAGAGCCTTCAGATCCCCAAAAGCAAGTGAGGGCTCGCTGTCCTCTGCAAAGAGCTGCAGTTCTGCCCTGGTCCCCCCTCTGAGAGCTGCTGCAGGGAGGGGACAGGGGGGTGGCCTGGCTTGGCAAGGGAATTCCACAGATGGTCCAGGGCAGCGTTTTCCACTAAGTGGAACCTGGGTCCCTTCCCTCAGGAAAGCTCAGCCCTGTGGCAATGCCCACCTCCCCACATTCCCAGTGGGAATCCACCCAATTCCAATCCTCACCTTTCATCTCCCCTTTGTTATTTACAATCACTCCTGCATTGTCTTCGAAGTACAGGAACACCCCATCTTTCCTCCTGTAGGATTTCCGCTGCCGGATCACCACGGCTGGGTGCACTGGGAAGGGAAAGGAGCAGCTCGGGGTCACAGACCTTGGGATAAACACTCACTCCAGGGGGATGTCCCTCGGGAGCTGCTCTACTGCAGCATCAAACCCAAGGCACAAACTTGGGGGTGTTTTTTGACTTTACATCTCGTATTTGTGGTGTTCCACTAAGAAGGGGTTCGGTTTATGGTCAACAGTGCCCTTAAAACTGAGTGTGTAACGCTCAGAGTTGCATCTACACCTGGATGATCCACTGTTTTCCTGCTTTCCCACATTTATTGCTACATAAGCCATTAATTCAAAAACAGTATTCAGCAAGAACTCCTCTGGAGCAGGAGCAAACCCGTTCCCTGCCCACGGCAGGGGGTGGGACTGGATGGGCTTTGAGGTTCCTTCCCACCCAAACCATTCCAGGACTCCATGATCCAACTTTACAGATCCATGCAACACTGCTTTCCTTTTAGATGGAAAAATGGACTCAGCAGAGGGTTTTGGGAAGGAATTCCTCCCTGTGAGGGTGGGGAGGGACTGGAATGGAACTCCCAGAGAAGCTGCCCCATCCCTGGAAGTGTCCAAGGCCACATTGGAGCCACCTGGGCCAGTGGAAGGTGTCCCTGCCCATGGCAGGGGGGAGGGGATTGAACTGGATCATCTCCAAGGCCCCTTCCCACCCACCCCATTCCATGACCCCAAGCCCCACTGTCCCACCACTGATTGAAATCAGCAGCACGAGCTGCCACTTCACCCAAAAGCGGCGCCTTTGCTCTGCCCTTCCACGACAACTCCCTGAGCCACGGCACAGACCCAACGAGTGCTTTTCAGAAGGGGGGGAGAGGAGGAGTCGCTCCGGGGCCTTTGTCCCCCCACTTTTCGTGACAGGAACGGTGGGACTCACCCTTCTTCCTCAGCTCAGGCTTGCCCTTCTTCACCGTGGCCATCACCATGTCTCCCACGCCGGCCGCCGGCAGCCGGTTCAGCCGGCCCTTGATGCCCTTCACGGAGATGATGTACAGGTTCTTAGCCCCTGGGGACAGCAGCACTCCCGTTATTCCAGAAAGGGGATATCCCAGGATATCCAGCTTCACTGAGGGGACACCCAACAGCCAGGCCACTGCTGTCTCCTCCTACTGAGCCACAGGCACAGCAAGGGCTTTCTGGAGGAAATCTGGGCTTTGGGAATTCACTTAACACCTGGTCACCCTCTGCATTACCCCACACGGCTCCTTCCTCCCCTATTCCAGGGGGACTCCTTCCCGCGGGGCTCCCCCAGTTCCAGGGGTGGTCCCTCGATTCCAGGGGGTGTCCTTCCCACCAGACTCTCCTGATTCCAGGGGTCTCCTTCCTGCAGGGCTCCCCCGGTTCCAGAGGGCTCCTTTTCCCCCTGGGCCCCCAGTGGGACTCCCCCAGCTCCACGAGGCTCATTCCCGAGGGTCTCCACTGGTTCCAGAGGGGGTCCTTCCCTCAGATCCCCCCCGGTTCCAGGGAGTATTGTCCCGGTTCTAGAGGGACTCCTTCCCACTCCCCCCCCCCAGTTCCAATGGGGCTCCCCCGGCTGGAGGGGGGCTCTTTCCTGCTGGAACTGGCTCCCCCGGTTCCAGGGGGTCTCCCCCGGTTCCCAGGGGGTCCCTTTCCCGCTGCCGCCCCCTCGGTCCCAGCCCCAGCCCGTCGCTCACCCGTGTTGTCGGCGCAGTTGATCACGGCCCCCACCGGGAGACCCAGGGAGATGCGGAACTTGGCCCCGGACGAACCTCCGCGTCCTGCGGGTCGAGAAGAGCGTTAACCCGCGGGCAGGGCCCGACCAGGGCCCCGGGCAGCGGGGGCGGCCACACCGCCCGCGCCATCCGCGCCCAGCGCCTCTTGCCCGCGTCCCCTCTCCGCCGCAGCGGCCACGGGGACCCCGGAGCGGGCCATCGGGACGCGGGAGGGTGCCGGCCGTGCCGGGATGGCGGCGGATGGAGCCGGATGGTGCCGGAGCCGGCCCGGGCCTCACCTCGCTTCGACATCTTGGCGCCGGAAGAGGCGGCGCCAGTCACGTGACGCGCCCGCCCCGCCCCGGGGCTGAGGGAGGATGGGGAACAGCGCCCCCTGCAGGCGGCGGGGAACGCCGCGCCCTCACACAAGCCCGGTACCGGGAACACCGGGATAAAACCGGGATAAAACCGGGATAAAACAACCGCGGGGGGCGAGCACAGCGCCACAGAATCACAGTCAAACAGAGTAGAAAAGACCTCTGTGATGATCCAGCCCACCCTGTCGCCCAGGCCGTGGCACTGAGGACTTGGCATTGACTGGACACGAGCCAGGGGTGCCCGGGTGGCCAAGGAGGCCAATGGAT